GCTAGCAGGCGCGAAGAGAGTCCGGAACAAGTCTACCAAGACGCTGTCTGCGCGCTGCCTGAACACCGAAACGACCCGGACTGTCAAAACCGCCAAAGACGGCGTGGGCCGTCAGGCTCGGCATCCAATCGCAGCTACAAGCCTCGGGCTCAGCTGCAAAAGAGGTACGGCAATGCGCACGCCACCTACTATCTTCAAAAAGGCGTGGCGGGTGCTTGCGGAAAGGTCAACTCGGAGGAAGCGCTAATCATCGCCTTGCCTTCTGCAATGTATGCGGGAGGAAAGCACTGCGGTCGCAAAGTCAAGATCACCAGAAAGGGCGGCAAGGGACAGACGGTCACTGCTACCGTTGCCGACGAGTGCCCTACTTGCACAACCAGCACTTCCCTCGACCTCAGCAAGGGAGCATTTGCCAAGATCGCCACGAAAGAGGAAGGGCAGGTGGACATTGAGTGGAACTTTGCCAACTAATTCTGCTCCAAACTGAATGTCTTGCGCTCCCCACATCATCACCCCCCGCTCCACCGCTTTGCGCCTTCTCGTCTAAAGTCATCCAAGCTGTACTACTATAATCACGAAGAGACGATCAATGCCATGTGACGACATGCCCCTCTCCCCCACAATTTCTGTGCTGACTTGGCCACATCTTTCATTCGGCCAGGTGGCCACTTGCGCGTGATTTGATCGGGGTTCGACTGGCGTGCCGTCCGACAGACGTCTGCACTCCCCAAGCGCAGCATGTTGCAGGATTGGCTGCAATTGTTGCGTCGTGCTGAATATTCCACGGAGAATGTACTCTCGCTCAGCGTGAGTCAGACGCAGCACAGGCCCCCTTTCCTGGTGGGCCTCGCCCAGCGCAGGCAAACAATAGTCAATGAGAGGCACGATTGAGAAGACGCATGCAATGCGATCTGAGCTCCGATCCGAGATCATCGTCACCGCCTTGGGGGTGCGCCTCTTCCAGCACCGCCCATCCCACCCATCATCTGCTGCATCATTTGCTGCATGCCAGCCATACCGCCAGCGCCACCCGGACCACCGCCGCCGCCACCCATCATTTGCTGCATCATGCCACCCAAGCCACCCATTCCTCCCAATGCTCCAAGCCCACCACCTGCTCCGCCCATGCCCGGGAGGTTCTCCATTCCAGGCGGTATCTGTCCAGACGAGAGTTGCTGGAGAAGACCTGTGTATGGCGATGCGAAATGTGCTGAGCGGGGAAACCAGCAATGCGCTGCGAATTGGGGACTTCGACTTACGCTCTCGACCGCCTGGTTGGCGCAATTGAGCTTTGACGTCCGGCGGGAGCATGTTCTAGAGGACGGTGGCCAAGCGAGGTCAGTCGAATGAGTTATGCTAGGGTGCCAATCTAGGGCGAACATGCTCGAATGCGCACCTGCATCTCCATAATCTTATCTCTCGACATTCCGGGTGGAAGCTGAGGCGGGGCGCCTCCCCTGCCTCTTCCACCACCCTGCATCTGCTTAAGCCAGCCTTGCTTGCCGCCCATCTGCTTGACGAGGTTGCGGACCATGCGGTACTGCACAATGGGAGAAAGGCGTGCCAGGCATGTTCAACACATGGACAAGAGACGATTTGTTCAGTCATACGCACCTGCATTAGGAACTGTGCGGTGAAGGTGCAAGCCGAGTAGCAACCCATTGCGTTAGCATGCAAACTCCCCGAATGTGCCGGTAAGCCACTTACCTCCTCGACTTCTCGAACGCTCGTGCCGCTCCCCTTCGCAACTCTCCTAGCTCTGGCGTTCATGCGCACGGGAACCTTTTCCTTGCTCTTCTTCTTGCCGTCCGCATTCGCACTGCTCTCTCCGGGCTTTTCAAGAGCCTTCTCTACACCTGGGGGTCTCTTGGGTCGGACAGGAGAATAGAAGATGCTGCCGTCCGAATCCAGTTCTTGAGCTGTCATGGAATCCGTCAGGAACATCATGCGCTTCATCTTGGACCCAGCTTCTTCATCTCCGCCTGCACCAGACATCATTTGTCCAAGGCCAGGAATCATGCCTGCAATCTTGGACAACGGGCCCCTGCGGACATGCGATCCGAGTCAGCCGTAGCGGGGGCGAGCATGCATCGCTCCAGAAGTGACTCACATCTTCATGATGTTGCCAAC